ATAAATCTATTCTGGAGCAAGATGCCTTCGTGCCTAAGCGGCTGCCCTCCTCCCCTTCCATGTTCCACTGCCATGTAAATCCAGGAGGAGCAACCTGACCAACATTCAGCACATATTATTCATATTACATTGACAGTATGGGTACTCTCCCAGGAGCACCACCACACTTCACTGGTTCTTCTACCTTATGAAGAGATGGAAGGACCAAATTTTATCCCAACACTTTATTTTCCCCGGGGTGCTTCTGTTTTTTTTTGCAAAGAAACCCAAAGAGCAGAGCTGCTTTCTCTCAAGGGATGTCATTTTTACTCATGCCCTACCTGGCCCACCCCTTTCTACTGAGGACATTTTATACTGCCCATTTAAAGAATTTTAAAACACAAGTAAGCTAAAGTCAACAAAGCAAAACTTGGTGAACCTGTGACCTCTCAGTGAGGGATAGTCACAGAGCACCCTCATTCACATGTTTCTGTCCCTCTCAGCAAAGTTTCATTTCTTTAACAAACTCACAATGAAACAGTAGGCAGACTGTGTGCTAAGAAATAGTTTAGCACTGGAAACAGGTAACGGGAAAAGCTCCCAAAAAACCCACCTGTGACTTTCCACATCTTTCTGTCTTGAGTTTACCCTTGTTTTTAAAAATAGGGGATCTAAATACTTATTTTAATGCTTGTATTTGTCCTCTTTTTCATTTTAGGATCTCAGGAAGCTGTGTGTACAGAAGGAGGGAATGTGTACTTCATCTCATCCTGGCAGCCTTTAAGGATAATCCCATTTAATTTTATAATCCTCCTTCTGCAATGTAAAACTTTAGCTTCTATGTATCAAATGGACCATGAATATTGCTAACAATCTTTTTTCTTTCCCCTTTTATGAAAAATTGTTGGTGATCTCTGTTTTCTAATGCTTACGCTCATCACTGTAAAGGAGTTGTAATTGTCTCCAGTTCCTTTTGGGGAAGTGTCTGGTGTGGAAGTTACTCAATAGCAATCTGTAACTGCAACATCACTGAAGTGAGAAGGTAGGGGTACTATTTTTGGTTGACAAGAGGATTGGTATTTATCCCATTTCAAGCTTGTATGTTGGTACTTTATGGTCCAGGACATCTAATGGGGTAGCTGTTCTCCAGTTTCATTGAAACAAGAAGTCTGTTAAGAAGTCTCAGAGCCTTACACCAGGAGCTCACAACCTGCAATAGCACAGTTTCCCAGAGCAATTTATGATGCCCATGAGTTGCTCCTGAGCACCTGCTCCAAGGGACACACAAAACCAGGGATTCTCATGCTTGCATATGCACAGCAAATCTCAGGTTCGCTACTCACACACAGCGCAACCCATCTATGCATTCCCAAACAGTCTGTCCCCACTGACAAAAAAGGAGTTGCAACAGGTTTAAGTACTGCTATGCCACTGAAAGAAGCTGTACAACCAAAAGGTAGAAGTCCAGTACAGCTCTCCAAAGTGTGCAAGCTGTCCAAGAATTCAAGTATACTTGCCATGTCAGACACTACTTTCATTGCAGGAATCACTAGGAAGTATAACTAAGAACTATATTTATTGGGAGTTTTGCCTTGTAAAAATATTTAAATACTGTGGTTAAAACCCTTTTCTGGGAGGAAAGATGTCAAAACAAGGATTCAGCCTTTTTTCATTTCCTCAAAAGTGACCGTGTGCAGTAATTCAGGAATACAGAAAGTATTTTTTGTAACTACTCTTCTATTACAATTTCATTCTGCTTGTTCTGAGACAGACAACCTGTAAAGTCAGACTGTCCTTGAGTGACAGATACAAAATGAAAACTTATAGTTTTGTAGAAGCTCTACTACATATCCTGAATTTAAGGGTCTTGTGAATTTAGAATATCCTAAAAAAATCTAAAATATTTTGAATACATCATGTGTCATTCCCTTACTACTACTTAATAGCAGTGATCGTCAAAACACAGTTTATGTCAGAAATATTAAAAATCATACATTTCCTGTGAAGGTGCTACAGGTTTGTTTCAGCTCTTACTAAAATAACATAAAAGTATTCCATTAGACAGAGAGAGCACATAGTTTTTTTCACATCCTAATTTATTTCAGTTTCATTGTAAAGGGAGGACATTACCATAGAAAGTATTTGTTAAAATATGCTGTCCAATGATATCTGACACATCTCTGCATGACACAGAACTAGACATCCAGCCTTTTGCTGATGATGGCAGCATTGCTTTGGATAGTACTCTTTAAATGCATGTATAACAGCTGGAGTCAATCTGTGACTACTTGCCGATAAACTATAGATCAGATTTTTAAATACCTGCTTGTTAATGGCAATGAGGCCTAATAAAAGCACCATACACTTCTCTAGAGAGCTCTTCATTGGATTTGAGCTGTGTTAATATGTGTTCCCACCCAAGTCACTGGGCAAATGCACATTATTTTTCATTGCAATTAGTATTTGGCACTGACTCTTGGGGGATTTAGAGAAATATCAATAATGCTATTGACAATTTCACATTCTTAAGATACACTGAAAACACAGAACCACACCGATGAACTTCAAAGCTTCTCTCCAGTAAATTGACCCAGCTGGCAATGCTGTCTGTTTAGGCAGATCTCCACACATGTTCTGTTAGAGAATCTGCCAAGTGCTGCAATGAACAACATAGCTGTATGGAGTTGCATTCTCCTATCCATTCTCCATGTACACATTTTCTCTTATTTGCACTTCCTCAGAGTTTAAACATATTGCATTGCTTTCGGTATAAGAAGACATCCAAATCCTTTCTCTGCCTAGCTGCTCTCTATTTATGGCAGACTGCTTCAGTTAAAAAGACAAAGAAATACTATGAAAACTCCTGCCTGTCACCACATAGCCACAGAGCACTACCTGAGCAGTTCAGTGCCAAGAAAAAATGACATTAAATGTTTCTCTTTCTGTAATAAATTACATGGGGGATAAAGCACACGTTTACAGCTTTCTTTGGGGAAATGCAGTGAGACTACTTCAACTTCCATGCTAGCAGCAGAGCAGATCATTGGTAAAGATCCAGTAGCAAGGTTTCTTAATTCTAGTCCACAGTAAGTTTCTCCTGGAGCATGCTCTAAAAGTACCATCAGTTTTAAGCTACATATATTTCCGGTTACAAATAAAACTATTTAACAATATTTTACATGCTTTTTTTTCTTATTTCAAATATTATGTCAGAACACAAGAAAGCAGTAGAAATGACCATTTAAATAATTAATGGTCCAGCTCTGCAATTCATCACTTTCAGAAGAGCAGTCTCACTGGCATCAGCAGGACTGATTACATTCCGGTATTTGGCTAACGATGAACAAGTAGGTAGTCAGCATGGAGATGGAGAATTCTTGGAAACCTCTCCTTATTAATCTTCCCTCCAGTGCAGAATCCAAAAAAAATGCTCAGAGCAAATGTCACAGAATCACAGAATCATCTCAGTTGGAAAAGACCTTGAAGATCACCTAGTCCAACAATTAACCTCACACTGACCGTTCTCATCATATCCCACAGCGCTGTGCCAATGAGCTACAAAAGGATGTAAGAACACACAGGTATTTTACAAAGGAGTTGGATAGGGCTGTCACCACTGATCATGCGAACTCTGCGATTACACCAAGCCCATGGTGATAGTTCCTGGGCTGTCAATGCATATCTCCAGTCTTTGACTTGATCTTAGAAAATATTCACTGAGTTATGTTTCCTTTCACTTGTCAAGATAGGTTGCCAAATGAAGCTAATGCTGGCAGTCAGAATTTGGTTAGTAATTATCTGAGAATACAGCTTCAATTTTCACTTGTATATTCACGATTAACGTGCTGTGTTATGAATCCCATTTCTATCACCCCTCCATATTGGTTGTTGACAAGTATCTCAAGAAAAAACACACTACTGAAGCTCTAAAGAACTGTGAAATAAGAAATACGGAGGTTTCATGTCATGCTGTATGTTTCATGCTTTACCCAACTGCAATCAGTGAACTATTCAAAGAGCATCTAAATCCCTCTTCAAGGGGATAAGGTGCCTAACATCTGCCACAATATTCTTCCGTCTTTCTGACTACAGAAGGAGCAGTTAAGACTTCTACATAGACATGTTTTTCAGTTTCCTGAATGTCACTGGCATGTCAGGTCTCTTCACGCCATAAGAACTTAGATAGCAACAATAATGTCATGCAAGGCCTTTTTCTCATTTAATTGAAGACCTGGTATCTTTTCACAAAACTAGCCTTACAGCATCAGCCACACATATGTACTGCCATGTATCATCCTCCGCTGCACACAGTGGCCAAACCTTTTCTTTACACTTTCCTCCTGTGTGGCAAAATCACTGTTGTCTTCAGACTACAGTTATTTTCATTGTTGAATAAAGAGATTCACTAAAAGGTGAATCTCTTTCACTAAAAGGTACTATCCAAAGAACGAAATGGTGGAAGTTTTGTTGTTAGAAAGAAATGCTGTATTTCACAGTGAAAAGAAAAATTGCTGAGTAGAATCTAAGCCACATATTAAGGGACTTAATAGCCCATCTGTTTGGCTTTCCAAAGTGTATGCAGTGCAGAAATCCTAATGCAAAGTGCAAGGCTTTGAAATTAAGAGTATATCTAAGACATTCATTTTTTCTCTGAAATTTCTTAATATTTAAAATGAAAAAATATATTGTAATTGAGGTAACTACAATAAAGTATTTGTAGGTTCAAGTTTCAATGGATTTTTACATCTTAAAAGAGAAAATGTAGTTTGAAATATTGCTTGTCTCTTTTTGCAAGGCAAAGACTAAAGGAAACAGGGTGGAATATGCAATGCATGTATGATGTTTTTTCAAGACTCTTGGAAACAGAGCAACTTACATAGATAATAGGGCCCAAGCAATGACTGAATAAAGAATGACAGATAACTTCAAGATTTGTTGTGACAACTTTGACATAATAGCATAGTGCAATTTTATTTTATTTTTTAACTATGTGCCTGACACATCAACACTGTCAGGAAAAACAGCTGCTTAGCTATTTCACTGCAAACAAGACTATGCAGTTGAGGATCATGACACCACCAGTCAACATCAACAAGAGTTTCCAGTTTTATTTGAGATACACTAATAGTTTATATTTCAACTGCAGCTTTCTGAATGGGAACATGATCTGGGCACATATTTGCTTAAATGGCCAGAAGGCTGGGAGTAAGCTGGTAATCCCAGGAAAAGACTGACTGAATCAAAAATTATAAATGGGACTCCTAAGGACCTGGGTTCTATTTGAACAGTGAATTTCAACAAATCTAGTCAAAAGAATTACATATATGCAATGATGTACATCACTTTTGAGCAGGCTTTTGTGATAATTATCTCTACCAATTTCTTTGCATTATCATTTACCCATACACAATGTAGAAGGGAGTAAAATTCTAACAAGAACAAAGAGTAGAGAAGTCAAATGCTTTTCCAGAACATAAAAATCCTTTACCTGATTGCTTTCAAACCACCTTCAGGTGACTTTCAGTATCTTTCTCCACAATTAATTCTGCTACCATGCTTTGGAAAATCTGACAAAATGTCAATAATTAGATGCCAACCACTTAAGAGTTGTGTGAAACTTGATGGTTTCATTTTGCAGGAGTTCAGGCATATATTTTATTTGGTGTCAATCCACATATGTTCCCTCCTTTCAGTTTGGGTTTTGACTTTTGAGTAAGTCCAAACAGGCAAATGAATAAGCAGTCAAAATTTCCACATTTTACATGGTTTCACTTCATGAGCATGCAAATAAAAAAACAGGCAGGAGTATCTTCATGAATCAACAATGAAATGAGTTAGATGTTCAGATTTAGAAAGAAATACAAGAAAACATCTATCATGTGATTGGGGTGATTTACACCCATCTAGCCACCCAAAAAACACAGGGTCACGATGATGTTAATTCTCCCTAGCACCATTACCATTTGTATTCGATATTCTGCAAAGTGCTGCAGGAGTGTGCATTTATTATGCTATATAAAGGCCCAAGATGAAAATAATAGTACTAATAATTGGTTTTGTTTAAAATCCTGCCATCATTTTACATCATCTCAGCTGCTTTCGACTCTTTCCATCCACCCCCAAGTATCTCGGGATTGCAGCTCACTGGATCAGCAACTGCTGTCATCAGTGTGCCCAATTCTAGTCTTTATCTGGTAAAAATCACAACTGATCCAACAGAAAACATAGGAGGTGAAATTTGTTTTAGGTAAGGGAGGTATGCCATAGAAGTAACAATTCAAAAGGTCTGACTCTATTAACATTTCTGCTGAAGACATACTCATTGCATACGTCTACTGAGGAACTGAAAGAAGGGTATGGAGTCCCAAATCCAAGTAACTACAGGTACCACATCTGGGAAATTGTGAGGTAGAGAAAAAAGGCCAAATGGATAAGAGGAATGAAAGAAAAAGAATAATGAAGATGAGAAAGCAGACATAACTATTTGTATTAGTTGGAAAGACAGAACAGTCGGAAAACAGAGATGCAGAAGATATGAAAGAACACAGATGAGGAAGGTAGTTTTAGAATATAGGATAGGAATGAAGAACAAATGGATTACAGATGGACTGGCAGAGAGATGACGATACAGGGAAAAGGAAGGAGAGTGAGCAAGCAGGTAACTAATTACAAGCACACAGTGTAGACCAAGATAAAACTAAGGATAGAGATGGGAAAAGTTGGAGGAGAAAGGGCACAGAATAAAAAGGTGATCCAAAAAAAGAAAGGTATGGGACTAAGAGATAAAAGTGTATCTGCAAACAGGACAAAGAACATAAAAACTTTACATGATAAAGGCAGAAATGGGATTTGAAAAAAATTATGAGTGGGATAATAGAAGTATGAATGGCAAAATGTCTCAAAATAAGAGGATACGAAAGGAAAAAGACCTCAGGAAAGGGACGGGAATGAAAAGCAGCAGATGAAGCTGTCACTTGGATGGAGACCTTGGTGCTACCCCTGCATGCAAGGTCATCTTACCAATCCACCACAGGTACTGAAGGAGGCGAAGGAGCCCGGGTAGCGGAGGACAGCACCACTGTAGTAACAAGCTCTCTCAGGTTGCGACTGTGCGGCACCAGGTGGGCTTTTTCCCTCACCCCCGAGCCGCTCCTCCACGGCAAAACCAGGAGCCAGGAAGCGGCTGTCCCTCTTGAGCAGCAGGTAGAGCTCCCGAGCAAAAGCTGGGATCCTCAGCAGCACCTCATCTCCGCCCTCCGCTGGAGGTGGTGGTGGTGGGGATGGTGGTAGTGGCAACTGAGAGGCAGCGCCAGACCCCTGGGGGAGTGGGGACCAGTGGTAAAACTCCTGAGACTCATACTCATCCTCAGCGTCCTCTTCCTCGGCTGCCTCCCCCACAGCCTGCACCTGCCCCTCCACCGAGGAGGAGACTGAACGCACCTCCCGGGAGCTGCCGGCCACCGGGCTCGGTGTAATGGGGGCACTGAGGGTGCTGCTCCTGTTCCCACAGCTGGGGTCGGCACCGCAGCCCCCTCCACCACCGCTGCCACCCGCCGGCTCCTGCTGGCCCCTGCTCCACAGCGCGGGGAAGACGATCTCCCACTCCTCAGTTTCTTCTGAAGCATGGAGACCTGCGGGAAGGCCAGCAGATGCTTTACCTGAGTGGAGCACCCAGCGCCTGCCAGAAACCCACCCCGTGCACCCCACGACACTCTCCTTCTGTGTCCCAGCCCGCCGAAAGTGTGACCCAAACCACAGCGGGCCCCCTTCGGCCCGGCCGCGTCCTGCGGCCCGGC